TTAACATCTAAAAAAAAAAAAAACCCTAATCAAATTGAGTCACTTTTTTCCAGTTTTTCAGACAAGACGGTTAGACATCTTGATACCATTTGTCGTAAGAATCACTGAAAAACCCTTTGAGTTATTCAGCTAGAAGGAGAACAGGTTAAAATCGTTTTGTGCCAGCCCCATTATATCTTCACAAATGAGCAGCAGTGAGAGGAAAAAGATCATTCAGGCCTTCACTAATGGTACCAACATTCATACTCTGGCTTCCATCTTCAAAGTCCATTCAAGACCCATCAAGAGAACGATGAATAAGTTTAAAAAAGAGGGAACAGTAGAGAGGAAAATTGGATCAGGAGGTCACTCTGGCAGGCGAGAGAGGAGTTTCAGCTATGACAGTACAAAGATCAGTGAAAAAAGACTTGAAAATGAAATCGTACGTGAAGCATGTGAGGCACCTTGTTATCCCAGGACAGAAAGTTATAAAGTTAGAGGGGGCGAAGATCATTTTGAATAAGTTGGTCCATGATCCTGGAATAATATATATATATATATATATATATATATATATATATATATATATATGGCACGTTGGGGTAATGGATAACGGCTTGGATTAAGGAATCGGAGATCTATTACATTCGCTTACGTGCTAATACCCTTGGGAAAGGGGTGAATCCTCTTCTTCTCCCTCCAGCTATGGATGGCAACTGGTCTAGGAGAAGGACAACTCTGAATTCAAGACCTGCGGAGTGCACCAGGTCTCTGTATTCGGCCCTTCAAAAGTGTGGATGGTCCTGCACGAACCTTCACCACTATAATCAAATCTTCTGTACTGTTGTCTGGCTGTAGGTTTCCTTGGAACTGATCTACTTGACCCTCATACGTCGAATTCGTCGGGAGAGTCGAGTATATATATATATATATATATATATATATATATAATGTCTGTTAGGAAAGTAATTTAATATTAACAAAAAATAATCATTAGTCCGCTTCAAAGTACATCTGTTGATTTATTTTTACAGTTATTACGAAGAATGTGCGACTAGTGGAATGGTAATTATGTCTGTTGTGTTCACATTTGCACTAATGCCCTAGGGAAAGGTATGAATCCACCTCTTGTTCTTCAAGCTAGCTATGGGTTAAATACCATGATAAACTAGGCTCTCCAATTTTGGTGGGTAGCCAGTCTAGTAGGACAACCCCGAATTCAAAAACCGTCGCGAAGATAGAATGAAACCACTCCACTATCTTAGATGAAATGGCTATTCGCAGATAATAAAGAAAAGGAAGTTGGGTAGACACGTGATAGCATACGTTCCTTAAGTTGAAATTGTATTTATTATATTTGTCTATCTATGACTTATTTATATTTATCCACTAGGCAATCTTTCCCAAGTACGAATGGCAATTCATAAATAATAAAGAAAAGGCAGTTGTGGAGAGCCCTGATCCCCTACGTCCTGAAGGGACATGACATTTTAAAAGGATGATCTGGTATTATTTGTGCGGGAGTGATCTGTTTAAGTGAACACACACCTACACGCTTATTGTGACATGTCAGAGATAAGAGGTGTCATATAACACAATCTGTCGTATCTTCATCGAAGAAGGGAAGAGCCCTACCAAGTAACCGCACTGTGTGCCTCCAGAACTACCATGAAGGGTAACCTGACTATGATAGAGCATTTTACGCATATACTGCATGCGTATATCTAACTAAAGATTTTATATTTTATATATATATATATATATATATATATATATATATATATATATATAATCAAGCAAACTCTTTTACCTCATATGGAGAATAGGTTCCTGTTCACACGGTGAAAGTGGTCGTCTGTCTTTTCAACCCTAGGTGTTTTCGGCAAGTTAAGGTTTAAGTTGACTATTTAGCTTCCAATAGCAATTCCTCACAGTTAATTCCAGTTAATTCCTACTACCTCCTAACCTTACAGACGTGAACTTCATTCTACACCGGGTTTGAAAAGACAGACGACCACTTTAATCGTCTGCTGAAATAGCCTATCCCCATATGAGGTAAAAGGATTTGTTTGATTATTAATTATATTGCTCTGTATAAAGAAAATACATCGAGCTCTTTTTTATGGATCAATTCTAATTTTGTTTTTTTAATTTTTATATTACTAGGATCCACTTGGATTATATACCAACGGATTTTGTACTCACTATATATATATATATATATATATATATATATATATATATATATATATTATAATTTTTTTTTAAAATAATTATAATTTAAGCTCTACTTCTGTATATAGCACTGTTTTTTTTTAAATAAAAACAAAAATACTAAAGAACTCCGGATTATTTACCTAACGTGTTCTTTCCTATTTTTCTACATACCTGCACATACATACACACACACACACACACACATAGATAGATAAGTGAACATTGAAGTCAACACTTATAGGCGACAGTCTGTCTCATGCTAGACGCATATATATATATATATATATATATATATATCAGTCAGTCAGTTATGTGCCAAGCGTGATATACGCTTAGGCGATCATGTATCTTTCGATACATGACTGACGAGGCAGATTTTTTCCCGCCGTAGGTTGCCATTTCTTTCTGCAGTAGACCAGTTGTCATCCAAGGCTATAGAACCCGGTCTGTCCTACTATTTATCCCATAGCTTGGGGGGAGGATTCATACCTTTCCTGAGGATATTAACACGTAAGTGAATGTAACGGAATTTGAACTCGGCATACGCACACGTATGCACGAACACGCACATACACACACTCTCTCTCTCACACACACACACACACACACACACACACACAAAGAGAAAAACCCCACTCCAATATGTTACTTAATATAAAAATAACGAAAATAAGAAAATCTGTAGTCAATTGCTGAAGCCTCCTGACGAGTGAACAGAACGATTGCAAAAACGCCAGACGTGCTGAATTTACCATCTAAGTGACAAATTTTATTTGTATGAGGCAGAGAGAGAGAGAGAGAGAGAGAGAGAGAGAGAGAGAAGAGTGGGGAGAGAATAGAAAATTAACCAATTAAAATGGGTTAAATTAATATATGATTGTCAATTGCAATTGCACAGCACATTTTCATGTCACTTCTTTCCAATGAATACTCGGGGCATTTTATTTTTTTTATTTTTGTATCTATTTATTTATTTTTTTTTTTTTTTTGATGAATGATGACTCTGTCCAGATATTTAAATTAACCCCCGTTTTACATATATCACCCTTCTTAGTGATAATTTATTCTCCACCTTATCTACAGATCTCTTCTTCGGGACTGCAGGCGAAAAAAAAAAAAACATTACAGAAAAAAAATGCAGATGTAGATAGAATTCACCATCCGAAAATGTTAAATTCCCTACTAACAAGACGATAATTAAGTGCACATATTTTCACACACACATATATATGTGTGTGTGTGTGTGTGTGTGCACGTGTGTAATTGGCTGGATGAAATTTGCTACCGTATTACTTACGCCTTGAAAAGTTGTACTGTTCAAAAAACCTAAGGTATCATCATCTCTTCTCTTCGTTTACACTAAAAAAAACAAGTAGGCTGTACGAAAGTATACCTATTTATTTAGTAAGCTTTGCTTAATAACGCTCACACAAATCCACGAGTATTGAGTACCTAGTAAGAATCATACTCCTTGCTAGCTCGTTAAATATTATTACTCAACGAAGAAGCAATCGAAATAAGGATTACTCATGTTTGCGAAATTTTCAAACCCAGAACTGATTACCGAGATTTCTCCCACTCTCTCTTTTGAAAAAAAAAAAATGTTTTAATGCATTTAATAATAATTTCTTTCTTTGTTTATAACTTTTGTTTGTTGGTCAAGCTAAAAAAAAAAAAAAAAAAAAAAAACCTCCCCAGATCAGTCGTTAAATTTTAAACTCCCTAAGTAAAGTCGACACGATAATGGTTCGATGTTTTGACTGAAACAAATTAAGTCCCAACCATTCATTTGAAGTCGTATCATTCATTAACAAAACAAAATAAGAGCCATCGAAATGAGTTGGAGAATTATTCAAAACGAATAATAAAGCCCTTCATTTTTTTCTTTTTTTTTTTTTCGTTTCCTTTTTCCATTTTTTTTTCTGCAAATTTCCAACTCACTTTCAATCCACGAATAATAATTCTGACCAAAATTTACTTACCTAAAATTTGCCTCTGCTTTGTGAACTTCGTCGACCCGAATTCCATCTTGATATTCCTTGCTACCCAAGCTGTGAATCAAATAATTCTAGCAGACGTGGAACGAGTTGCTTAAAGAGACGGGGGCATCTTTCTTTTCTTTTTTTAGGGGGTGGAGGGGATTGTTTAGAGATTTTTAGAGTGTCTCTAGTCGGCCGGTTTGTAACGACTGGGTCTGCTGAGAGTTTAGAGAGAGATGGGAGGTTGGTTCTGCGTTCCTCCATGTGCGTATACACGCATCAGCCTTCGTGTATGCGTGTGTGTATGTGTGCGTACGTGTGGAGAAGGATAGAGAGACGGGGAGGCATGCACGTACGTCAAAGTTTGCGTGTCTTAAGAACGTGTAGGGAAAAAAAGTGAGGCTGCTGTGTGTACTTTGCTGTCGAGGAAATCTTTCTTTGAACGGAGACGACGATGAATGTGTGTCTGTGTGTGCGCCTTTGAATCTTAAGAAAAGTTTGTGCTTGGAGTCTGGGCAGGGAGACATGCGGGCCGGGTGTCGAGTGAGTTAGGTCGGTGAATGAAACTATCTTTGAACGCATAAAGACATAAACCCTAAAATTCCTATCACCTTATCAATTGGGAAAATCCAGTACACGCATGCGCACATTCAACACACGATCAATAAGGTGAAATATTTAGTGCATTTTCTTGTTTGTTTAGGCAAAATTTAATTTCTTACAATCTGCTGAGGAATGTGATAATCCCCCCCTCTCTCTCTCTCTCTCTCTCTCTCTCTCTCTTTCTCACCCCCACACACATTCACTCACATCCTCCTCTCTCTTTTAAGATGCAATAGATATTTCTGTGTGCCTGGATAGATAGATAGATAGATAGATAGATAGATAGATAGATAGATAGATATGAACATAATGAGATACATACGAGAGAGAAAGAGACAGAGACGAAATATGATAGATGCACAGACAAAATGTGATAGATAGATAGATAGATAGATAGATAGATAATGAACAGACTGTGATAGATAGATAGATAGATAGATAGATAGATAGATAGATAGATAGATAGATAGATAGATAGATTCTACTGAAGAGCAATATTTAACAAACTAGAAACACAGGAAAATCACTCATGAAATGAATTCGATCTTCACTGGGCGTTCCAATATTCTGGCCCTGCGCCACACTAATCCTAGATTAGTAAACACTTAAGAAGAATTTCTCCGTGGAAATTACTGATTAGTAAGATCGATCCCTAAATAGGTGCACCATAATTTCATCCTTGTACCAGGATAAGATGAGCATAGTAAATACAGAAATAAGGGACGTCCATCTGAAGCGACAGTTAAATTAGGCTCGCAAGTCAATTCGACACCCTGTGGGTTTTATTCTTCAGTCAGTTATGTACTATGCGTGATACACGCATGGTACTGCATCGTCAGTCATGTATCGAAAGATAGATGACTGACGAGGCAGATTTTATCCCTCAGTAGGTTGCCATTTCTTTCTTTTATAGGCTATAGAACCATAGCTGGGGGTAGAGAAGAAGAGGATTCATACCTTTCCCATAAGTGAATGTAATGGATTCGAGTGGAATTCGAACTCGGCTCTCCGATTCCTTAATCCGAGTCGCTATCCATTACTCCACCGTGCCTCCTTTTATCCTTACCATTACGATGTCTTGTGCGGTTCCTAAAACAGGCCTTGTACCTTCCTTTATGTTACAGCTGCCTTGTGTCAGCCTAAAATGAAATATATACAGACTGTTTAGTTGAATATATTTAAACCAATAATCGATGTTCGTGCCCATGTAATAGGATTTTGAATGAAGATTTTTAATGTTTTGTTTCTATGTATCATGCCAAGTTACTCTACGAGTGTTACTGGTACAATGTAACCTACTATTATACGGCGCAGGGTCATCGAAAACTAAACCGGTCCCCCACCAGGCTTTTTCTGGTGAAGAAGGGGGCTAGACACACAGCAGGATTAAAGACCAGTCAAAGGACGGATGGTTTTTCTTGTAGGTTCAACGACCATCTAGCACAATTTGGTAGACTGGGTTTTATAGCTATGGATGCAGCCAGTGCAGTGATGACACGTCATCGCTGGGCGGGGGGTTTCCTATATTGAAATCAACGATCAGGTAGGAGAGTTCTTTCGATGCAATCATCAGCCACGTGTTTGTAACCAAGAAGAGCTTTCAAGTTGGGGGGACATCGGTTGAGATTTGATAGAGCAGATTTATTTACCCAACACATGCTATGCATAAATGACTACCTCTCCGACTTTCAACCCATATATATAGAGTGGAGTGGTCAGGCCCTCACTTGTTCAATGACACTACGACCAGATGGAAGTAATGGTTAGGGCTCGTTGCAAGGGTCTCATGCCCACTCCCCGAATCTATGATACAAAGCTTCCACTGTACATCTCAATTTTCATGAGGTAGAATTTATATAAATGTTGTGATAGGATCCACCTAATTTGCATAGTGGAGTACCGACCATATAAATATGGTTGGTACCGGGAAGAGGGTGGAGGAATCAAGAGATTCAATCCAGAGACTCTGCCCGACTGCGACTAAGTCAACATATTCTCCAGGAAGGGTCTTCCCAGGAATATACAAAAGACTATATGTAACTATTGTGTACACTTTCATGTTTCAATACATTTTGTTCTAAGTACATTTTGTGTTGCATTATTATTCCATGCATTAGTCAAGTTTCAACAATAAAATACAAATTTTATTGTAACCTAATTATGTACAATACTGGCTCATATGCAATATAGGTAAACAATTCAGCCAGAAAAATTAAAAGCAATTGCAATGTATCTAACTACAAATTAGAGACATGTCATAATAGATCATTTCATCTTAAATAAATCAATAATAATTTGCGGTAATTTTTTAAAATCAACTGGGGATATTATTTTTGTTAAAAAGTTTAATAATTTTAACACATTCAACATTATGGGTTTTTTTTTTAAAAAAGTTAATTTTATATCGTGTTTTTTCGAAACTTGACATAAGCAAAACAAATTCACAGATTTAGACAAAAAACAAACCCAGAATGACGTCAAAATCAGGCAAAAATACTTAATCCTTTAATACTTAATACTTAATCCTTTAATATTTAATCCTTTAATACTTAATACTTAATCCTTTAATACTTAATACTTAATCCTTTAATACTTAATCCTTTAATACTTAATACTTAATCCTTTAATACTTAATCCTTTAATACTTAATAATCCTTTAATACTTAATACTTAATCCTTTAATACTTAATCCTTTAATACTTAATACTTAATCCTTTAATACTTAATACTTAATCCTTTAATACTTTAATACTTAATCCTTTAATACTTAATACTTAATCCTTTAATACTTAATCCTTTAATACTTAATACTTAATCCTTTAATACTTAATCCTTTAATAGTCAGTTGTGCTTAGTTTAATTTGTAACGTATATAAATGTAGGTAGAAAAGTGCAAATGTTGATAAGATTACGAGGGTCAAAAAGCATTGCCCTGGGGTCCCCAATCTGTGCGTACTAAGGGATTAGTAAACACCAGCCCTGCTAATGATGATGACGATGTTGGACTGTGCAATACGACTTATTGCTGTTGCTAACAGGCACACCCCACAGGCCATTAATTGTATTTTTTCTTTTCTATCTCTTTTCGATTTATTTGAACTATTGTCCCCATATTTAATTGCTATAGATTTTATTACAGACACAACGTTTCGGCCAAGTACTTTGTGACTATCTTCTGGCATCAGACTGATATGGGATATTTTATGTGTTGATTATATTCTGTTATTTTGTCCGGGCGAAGACACTTTTTATTCGTTCCTGCTGAAATAGGATATATTATTTCATTACCTGAAACAGGGATTGAACTAACGACCACTAACAGATATGAGGTGATCTTTTGTTATAGTTTTTGATGATAGGGGATATGAAATGATCATGTTATAGCCGTTTGTCTTTAAGGTTTCTTATCACATCCTGGCCCTAAGTTTCTATCAGGTCATCATCAGTAGGATCAGAAGTTTTAAAAATTCATGATTAATTAAAATTGATTGATAAGCATAGGATCCACAGATATAAGTAACCACCTTACAATGATTCACAAACTTCGTAATACCGTTTTCGTAAAATAAAAAAAAAATTATAATTTGGGGAAAATAACGTAGAGAATGTAATATTTATCTCTTCATATGTTTTAAGAAATAATACAAGATGGTTAAGTAAAACGGTATATAAGAAAAGGGCACAGCAGTCCTCTCCCTCTTTCTCCCCACCCCCACTTCAATAACGTAGAGAATGTAGTATCTATCTCTTCATATGTTTTAAGAAATAATACAAGATGGTTATATAATCTCCAAAACAGATGATAATCAGGTGGAGCAAGAACAGGAGAATAAGGAGGATGCGGAAAGTTTCAAGTTTATCTGCCAAATAACTCCTGCTAACAATCGCTAGATGGTGTTAAGTAAACAGTATATAAGAAAAGGGCACAGCAGTCCCTCCCTCTTTCTCCTCCCCCACTTCAATAACGTAGAGAATGTAGTATCTATCTTCATATGTTTTAAGAAATAATACAAGATGGTTATATAATCTCCAAAACAGATGATAATCAGGTGGAGCAAGAACAGGAGAATAAGGAGGATGCGGAAAGTTTCAAGTTTATCTGCCAAATAACTCCTGCTAACAATCGCTAGATGGTGTTAAGTAAAACAGTATATAAGAAAAGTGCACAGCAGTCCTCTCCTTCTTTCTCCCCCCCCCACTTCAATAACGTAGAGAATGTAGTATCTATCTCTTCATATGTTTTAAGAAATAATACAAGATGGTTATATAATCTCCAAAACAGATGATAATCAGGTGGAGCAAGAACAGGAGAATAAGGAGGATGCGGAAAGTTTCAAGTTTATCTGCCAAATAACTCCTGCTAACAATCGCTAGATGGCGTTAAGTAAAACAGTATATAAGAAAAGGGCACAGCAGTCCTCTCTCTCTTTCTCCTCCCCCACTTCAATAACGTAGAGAATGTAGTATCTATCTCTTCATATGTTTTAAGAAATAATACAAGATGGTTATATAATCTCCAAAACAGATGATAATCAGGTGGAGCAAGAACAGGAGAATAAGGAGGATGCGGAAAGTTTCAAGTTTATCTGCCAAATAACTCCTGCTAACAATCGCTAGATGGTGTTAAGTAAAACAGTATATAAGAAAAGGGCACAGCAGTCCCTCCCCTCTTTCTCCTCCCCCACTTCAATAACGTAGAGAATGTAGTATCTATCTCTTCATATGTTTTAAGAAATAATACAAGATGGTTATATAATCTCCAAAACAGATGATAATCAGGTGGAGCAAGAACAGGAGAATAAGGAGGATGCGGAAAGTTTCAGTTTATCTGCCAAATAACTCCTGCTAACAATCGCTAGATGGTGTTAAGTAAAACAGTATATAAGAAAAGGGCACAGCAGTCCTCTCCTTTCTCCTCCCCACTTCAATAACGTAGAGAATGTAGTATCTATCTCTTCATATGTTTTAAGAAATAATACAAGATGGTTATATAATCTCCAAAACAGATGATAATCAGGTGGAGCAAGAACAGGAGTATAAGGAGGATGCGGAAAGTTTCAAGTTTATCTGCCAAATAACTCCCTGCTAACAATCGCTAGATGGTGTTAAGTAAAACAGTATATAAGAAAAGTGCACAGCAGTCCTCTCCTTCTTTCTCCCCCCACTTCAATAACGTAGAGAATGTAGTATCTATCTCTTCATATGTTTTAAGAAATAATACAAGATGGTTATATAATCTCCCAAAAACAGATGATAATCAGGTGGAGCAAGAACAGGAGAATAAGGAGGATGCGGAAAGTTTCAAGTTTATCTGCCAAATAACTCCTGCTAACAATCGCTAGATGGCGTTAAGTAAAAACAGTATATAAGAAAAGGCACAGCAGTCCTCTCTCTTTCTCCTCCCCCCACTTCAATAACGTAGAGAATGTAGTATCTATCTCTTCATATGTTTTAAGAAATAATACAAGATGGTTATATAATCTC